AGCAGTGTAGAGTAGTGCTTGTTGTTTGTCGTTTCTCCGATCACAAATGCAGACATGGTTTTATGTTTACGCGGCACGATGCAACGCGTAAAAAGACAGTATAAGTCATTATAATCCGTAATTATGTCCCCACTGGATGCAACAAATGCCTCGTTTATAATGGCTTTTAATGCTTTTGTCTTGTCGCTCCGGCCGGGACACGACATCAACAGTATGGTGAGGGGCGTAACATTTCCGTCACACGCTTGAGGTATTCGGCCAATCACAACGCACTGGATAGCTGGCCAATCACAGCACACCTCGCTTTTCAGACCGATGAGCTTTGTAAAAATCGACACGTTTCAGAAAGGTGGGGCATAGAGGAGAAACAATAATGTACAGTATGTGGAAAATAATGCGTTTTATTTTTTTTACTTTAAACAGCATAAACACATTTAATTAAACCAAATACACAAAATAATGTTCTTTTTAGCAACATCATATGACCTCTTTAAATCATTTACTTGAGAAGCAAAATGAGAAGAACAAGAACAAGCAGAACAAGAAGTCTTGTTTTAAGAAAAATGCATCAAAATGAAGTGCGTTTATGATTAAAACAAGAAGAAATATCTGCTAATGGGCTCAGAAATAAACTAAATTCAAAAGGAAAACAAGTTGTCATAGTCCACTGACAGATGTTTGTCCTTGTTTTAAGCACAGACTCACTTCATTTTGTTTAGTTTCTCAGAAAACTAGACTTCATCTCAAGTGAATGCAAAGTGAAGTGTAATAAATGTCTGGGACACTACAATTTCTAAGTGACGGGATGTTCTTGCTCATATTAAATAACTCGGTGTGCAGAACAAAGAGACACTGGAGATCTCACCTGCGTGCAGCGTCAGCAGGGTTTTGTATAAGTGGTTGTAGAATTTCAAAGGGTTGATGTTGAGGACGTCACCTGTTGGAAAAAGATGCATTTTAGCTCAGCGAGGGTGGGATGTTTGTGAAACCAGAGCTGTGGCGGCACTGACCTTGTCCTGAGAGGATATGGAAGGATGTGAGGATGCAGTGAAGGCTCTCGCGATACGTCAGATCCTGAGAGAAGGAGAACGCTCACATGTTAATGCATGAAGTGTGACGTGAAGCAGGTGCTCCTGGTTGAAATACTTACACCCGATGTGATGAGGCCATACAGCACCACCAACAAATCATTGAAGAACTCCAAGTTTATCAAATGAGCAAACCTTCAGGAAACAATTGCAACCATGTTAATCAAGAACACAGAGGAAAACGCTTTGTAACGGTGTAATAACACTATAATAAAGCAGTTATACACATCAAGTGCTTCTTACTTCGCAAGACCTTCTAAAACGGAGGGCAGTAAGATGGACTTCTGAGCTTTCTTCAGTATTCTGAAGTAGATGAGGAACACAATGTTCAGCGTCTCTGTGTGCTGGAATCAAACGATGGAGCAACAACATAAGTGAACATACAAGAACACAATCATGCATTAAAAGGAACAGGCTCTCCATCTACTGTAGTAAGACTCACCAATTGAATTTTCTTCTCCTTGCTCTCTGAAGCCTCAGCTTCTAGAAGTTCTTTCTGCAGCTTCTCCTCTGCTTTCTTCCACTGTTGAGGACAAGATGGATCAAGGTCACAAAACAGGTATAACACTTTTCCAGAAGCTTGAGGAAATATATTTGGCATTCATTTGCTCCACAGGCATTTCAGAAAATTCTTCATATAAAGACAGATTTCATTAACAAACTCTTTCTAACTCTGCACTTGACCATTAAACGTTTCATACATCACAACATTTGATTTGAAGCAATCTGTATTTTGAAAAAACACTGTACATTTTTATGAGGAAATGGATAATGTAATCAAATCAAAATTCTATATAAAACTACTGATTTGTCTGCAAGTATAAAAATATTAGAAGGTTATTAGGGCTGCATGATAAATTGAAATGGAATCGAGATCGCGATTCGACAGAAGCTGCGATTGTCATGTATATCTTTCAGTGAAGCACGGTTCTGTGATCAGCAGTAAATCTCCATCCGAAGGCCAGAGGGCGCTCTCGC